GAGCACCCAGTGTGTGTGCCAAGCTTTGACTCTGGGGAACTCTGAGTCACATGGAGAAGACAGCGCCACTGAAAAGACTCTGGGTGAGGACAGGAGGCACCGGAGTGAGTGCTGAGGCCTGTGGCTGAGCTCTCCTGGAAATGGACAGCACCACCCAGGCTGCCTCCGCTGGGGATCATAGGATTTGTCTGCAGTTAAAACACCTGCAACCACACAGCTGTGGGGGACCAGGATGTGTCAGTGCAGGTCCAACAGTTGTAACAAATGCCTGGCCCAGTGGAGGGGGGGGTGGGTGCATGGAGAATGGGGCGGCTGTGAGTGTGGAGGGTCAGAGGTGTATGGGAACTCTCTACCTTCTGCTCAGTTTTGCTGGGAACTTAAATCTGTCTGAAAAAGAAAATCCACTTTTCAAAAATAGTTTTATTTGTTTCAAAGAGAAAGTGATAGAGAAAGGCATCAATGAAGTGAGAGAATCATTGATTGGCTACCTCCTGCAACCCCCCTACTGGGCATTGAGTCTACAAACTCGGGCATGTGCCCTTGAACAGAATCAAACATGGAACACTTCAGTCATTACTCTATCAACTGAGCCAAACCACCTAGGGCAAACATTTTTAAAAAAATATTTTTTAAACATCCCCATGGGAAAACAGTGTGGCATTTCCTCAGAAATTTTAAAATGCAACTTCCATTTGATCTAGTATTCCCGTTTCTAGGAATATATTCCAAGAAAACAGAAACACCAGTCAGAGGGGATATATGCACCCCTAGGTTCATAGCAGCACAATTTACAATAGCTAAGATTTGGAAACAGCCTCAGTTCCCCTCTACACATGAGTGGATTGGAAAACATCTACACAATGAAATACTAGGCTGCGGTAAAAAGGAAGGAATTCTTAATATTTGCAACAGCATAGATTGAATAGGAGATCATTACGCTAAGCGAAATAAGCCAATCAGAGAAAAAGAAATATCATATGATCTCACTCATTTGTGGAATATAATGAACGCCATAACCTGATGAACAAAAATAGAAATACAGTCACAGAAGCATCACACAGACTGTTCAACCTATGAGGGAAGGCAAGGGTAAGGGGGTAAGAGATCGATCAATCAAAGTACTTACATGCATGCATATTAGCATAAGCACAAGAGAAAGACAGTAGAGGGGTGAAGGTAGCAAAAGAGAAATCAATGAAGGAAAAAGAAGTCTTAGGTAATACTTTAAACAAGAAAGGATTAAAAAAAATAAAAAAAAATATTATATATAAAATATCCCCTTGCACTCTTTAACATACTAAATTTCATTTATCATCCTATTTTATTTTTTAATATTTTATTGACGTCAGGAAGGGGGAAAGGAAGAAAATGATGGAAATATTAATAATGAGGGAAAATCATTGATTGGCTGCCTCCTGAATGCCCTCTACTAGAGATCCAGCCCACAACCCCAAGCATGTGCCTAACCAGGATTGGAACCTTGACCTCCTGGTTCACAGCTCAAACTTAACCTTTGAGCCATAGCAGGCATACTCCTTAATCACTTTATTAGGTAGTTTATATGATTAACATTTACAAAACTCACAACTAAAATATTCATACTCAAATAGTATTTACCTAAAGCAGATTTTATAAACACTTCACAGCATTGACCTGCTGGGAACACTAACACATCACCTGGTCTGACCAGCAGGTGGTGCACAAATCCTGAGGCCTGGCCATTTCTCCTGATAATCACCAGGGATGAATCCACTCTTTTCACTATAAGTCCACCCCCACCACCCAATTCCACTCATACCCAACAACCCATGGCTGACTGTTTCAGCTGTTTGGGTAAAGCAGGATCAGGGGGGCCCCATGCAGGGACTGAGTCCCACCGGGCGCCCTGTGCTGGGCTCTCTTCCCTGTCCTCAGGAGGAGAGCATGAGACTGAGGGGCAAGGATGCTGGGGGCTTCTGCTGGGAGGGGAAAGAGGAAAAACCCATTTACTGAGCTCTTACTCTATGCCAGGCCCACCGCCAAGCCCTCAACATGCACCGTCTCCTTGGATCTTACAAGCATCCTCTAAGCTGGGTGAGCACCATGTCCTCATCTGACAGGGGAGCTGAGGTTCTAGCCAGAGGTCCCTCCACCCAACAGCACCCTTCCTCAGCTTGAGTTTTTGTTTTTTTTAATCAATCTTTATTGTTCATATTATTACAAAGGTTCCTCATTTCTTCCCCCCTCCACCAGGTTCCCACCCTCCGCCCCCTCCCCACACCCCATTGTCCTCATCCATAGGTGCACAGTTTATATTCAGTCTCTTCCCGCATCCACCACTCCCCCTTTCCCCAAGAACAGTCAGTCCACTCCCCTCCCATATCGCCGACCCTACTACAATCAACAGCTAATATTGTTCATCAGATTTTTCAATCTCCTTTTTGTTGTTGTTGTTGTTTTTAATTAATAAACTTTTACACTTCTAAGAATAAATTTTAAAATCTAATAATTTTAAACCTTGTTTTTTTTTCTGCCCTGGGAGTTGAGAAGCAAACTTGTTTACATGTAAACTTGCCCTTAGGCTATCAAAAGGTATAGCCATTCAAGTGTAAATAGACACATTGTTTAAACATAGCTGCTGGTTGGAATTGGATTCCCTGTTCTAGGTGGGAAGGGATTGTCTCCCCCTTTCTCCATTAAAATTAAGGTGTTAGCTTTAAAACCTCTTTTTTGGCAAGAGACCTTAAACTTTCAGAACTTTAAATTTTTCAGATAGTACATCAGTTACTTAGCATTTACTCAAATCAATAATACCTCCACATGCCCAAGGATACACTTCACACAAAAGACATTTCCAAATAGATCAACCAACCTAATCCAGGCCCCACGCAAGGCACTCACAGATCAACACCCCAGCGCTATACTAACTCAACATATCCAGATCTAAGCCTTCATCACTTGATTCAGCAGACCCTCAAATTCCCCCAAAAGTTTCCAGTCATGTCTGAGAGGCAGCCTTGGGGCGGGGGCAAGCGAGGAGCGAGCTGTTCCGGGCCTGGCTGCTCCGGGGCTGGTCTCTGTTGCTCTGGTCCATTCCACAACCAGCTGCTCCCGGTCTGGCCACTGCTGCTCCCAGCCTGGCTACTGTTACTCCGGGCCAGATTACACCCGACCTGGCTGCTCTGAGCCTGGCTGCTCCGGGCCGGGCCGCTCCGGGCCTGGCCGCTCCCTACCTGGCTGCTCCGGGCTTGGTTGCTGCTGCTCTGGGCCTGGCTGCTCTGAGCCTGGCTGCTCGGGGCCCGGCCGCTTCAGGCTTGGTGGCTCCTGGCCTGGCAGCTGCTGCTCCGGGCCTGGCTTCAGCGTGAGTTTTATTAGAGTGCCCTTTGATTAGGGTCCCTGTGAGGGGTTAATTTTATGTGTCAACTTGACCTGAGGTCATCAAACTTTTGGACCTCATGGACCACCAGTTGGCAACCACTGAACTTGATGGCGCTAAGGGTTGACCAAGTAGCTGGTAAACCATTCTGGGTGTAAATTGCCCGGGTTAGCTTTTGATTCAGTAGATGAGTAAGGAGATCATACAGTGCAGCTGGGCTTCCTCCAATCTTTTGGGGGCACAAGTGGATTAGAAAGAGGAAGGAAGGATGAATTCTCTCTTCTTTGGTTTTAGCTGATGGTGAACATAGGTTCCAGGTTGTCAGGGCATCAAACTCCTGGGTGTGCACCAGCTGCCCTTTATTCTCAGGCCTATGGCCTCACACTGGGGTTTCCCATATGGCCTCTCCTGGTTTTCAAGCCTAACTTACCTTGGCCTCAGTTATACCATTGGCTTTGTAGGTTCTCCAGCTTGCAGAGGAGAGGTATTGGGACTGAAGGCGGGAGCCTATCCTTATAATTTCCTACCTGAGTCCATGTGTCCCTGTTGGCTATTCGGGGGCACACTACCTAATACAGCGACTGAGCACAGGGAAGAGGCTCACTCATTTGTGCAGTGTGTCTGCACCCCTTCCTAACAGACTGATTTCAGTACATGCTCTCTAGTCTAGCTCCATAGAGAGGCAGGAGGTGTAATGGGCATAAGCCAACCCTCTATGGATATTACCTGCCCCCCCTTCCCAGGTTATATTTTGTGTGGTGTAGGAATCCTCAGAAAAAGTATTTTGCTCAAAGGAATTTGGATGATATTTCTGGCCATAAACAGGTTACTTCCTCTGCACTAGGCCGATAGGCATGGGCTGGATGGCCCAAGGACTCGATGCGTCTGCCTGTGGATGAGCCCTTCTGGAACTGAGGGCCATGCCTTCTCCCTGAACCCCTCCTGGCACAATCCTGGGATGTGTGAGTCCACCTCCAGACCCATAGGGAACACTGGCATCCAGGGTCAGAGCCAGCAGAGAGGTCCCCTTCACCTCAGGGGCTGGTGGGCCACCTAGCAAGTCCCATTGTACCCACCCACTGAGCAGCCACAAGGAGATCAGAGATGCCCAGAGAAAAGACAAGGCCTGGAGGGTGGGATAACATGGTGCTGAGCGCTGCAGCTGAAACGCAACCCAGCAGTTCCAGGTTCTGACTCTGAGCCTGCCCGACCTTTTTTTTTTTTTTTTTTTTTTTTTTTTTTAATGAGCAACTGCAGTGTCCTGGGGTGTCAACTGGGAAGACAGGTGAACACAAGCAAGAGGACCAGAAGGTTACCTTTGAAATTGTCTTTATTTCTCATCATTCCTTTACAATCATCGACCCCAGGATTCACTCCCACACAGGAAGCTCAAGCCCAAATTCTGCCCCCTCCCCACACAAATGAGATTCATGTTTCTGCTGGTAGGACACTTTGCCTTTGAGGTCCCAATAACTCCCCGTCCTTTGTCCCTGCAATGCTGTTTGCTGGCTGTGTCCCTCCCTTTCCCATTCACTCTGAGTATTAACCTGAAACATGGGTTGGCCCCTGTATAATGCACCTAGTCTGAGGTTTCAGCTTCCAAAGGCTGAGGAAAAAGCTCAGGTGCTCCCACTGAGCACTGTCATTACAGGGGCACAGCATAAACCTCCCTGTGGCCTCTGTGCTTGGCGGCAAGTAGGATCATCCTGGTCTTTCCTAACTCCCTCAGTATTCCCGTCAGCTCAGCCCGGACCAGGGCAAGCCTCTCTTGCTTGACAGTGCCCTGGGTCGTGTAACACTCCTGGGGGACGGGGTACAGCTCCAGCTCTAAGCTGCGCAGCCCAGCTGTGTGACGCAGCAGCTTCCCCACGGTGGCCAAGGACAGGCGGTTCTGAGAGATGGTGAAGAAACTGAGCTGGTGACAGCAGCTCAGGACAGGCAGGATGGCCTCGACTTGAGAGTCCACCATGGCACAGTTATCAAGGCCCAGGACCTGGAGGGTGGGTGCCACTGCCTCCAGCAGAGCTCGGAGAGGCTCAGGACTAAAATCAGCAAGACTGGCACAATACAGACGCAGGGACTTCAGCTGCCTGAGGTTCGGGCACTGGAACAGGTGTGTCAGGTCTGAATGGGTCAGGCTCTGGCAATTTGTTATGGTGAGTTTTTCCAAGGGGGTCTGCAGGCACCTGCGGAGACACAGAACGGTTAGTTCCTGGGAACGAGGTGGCAGGTAGAGAGAGCCTCCATGTGGCACCCGAAGAAGAAGACCGATTTGTCCAAGCCCAGGGTTGTCCTGAGAATCTGATGAAGTTCAGCACCCAGGACCCCCACTTCTCCAGAGCTTCCTTTCCTCAGCTGCCAAGCAGAGCACTGCAGGCTGGTGAGTGCTTGGACAGAAGGGAAATCGAGGGAACCGGCTCAGAGAGTGTGACAGCATCTAGTTCATCCCTGCACCTTATGATTGGGAGGCAAAACCCACCATCCTGTCAACTCAGATTTCCTTGTGTCCACTGCTTGGCTCCAAGCACCAGACATCTGGGCCGCATGAGGCTTGTTCATCTAATTCAGAGGAAACACACCTGGCCTTAGCTGGTTTAAATCAGTGGACAGAGCTTTGCCTTTTGGACCCAAGGGTCTGAGATGATTCATGGTCAAGGGCACAGATCTCATTTGCAGGCTCAATGCCTGACCCGTGTTGGGGCATATGCTGAGGGCAACCAATCATCTCTCTCTCACTATGTATTTCTCTCCCACTCCCTTCCCTTCCATTCAACTCTCTAAAAAATCAATGGGAAAAAAATATTATCCTTTGATGATCTTTTAAAAAGGGAGAGAGTAAACCAGAAGAAGATTCTGCAACATCAACTGGGGAGGCCAGTGTGCAGAGGCGATTTCCATCCATACATCACCACAAACCACTAGTAACTCTGCAATCCTGTCCACTCCGGCTTCCTTGGCTGCAGAACTATGCCTGTCCTTTCTATGAATGACCTTCCTGGTACCAGGACCATTTCTGACAGATGGGGAATCTGACATAGGCTCACGTGTGTTCACGTGGCTGGTGACCACAGAGCTTATGTCTCAAATGCTCCATCTGATGTGACTTTGCCTCCTCTCAACCCTCTTCCTAAGGTCTCATCACTTAGACCTCTGTCACTAAGGAAGAATTCAACACCCAGGGTTGCTGGGTCCCTCATTGAGGCAGTTCTGTTACCCATCCTGACAGGCTGATTTCAAAACATGTTTCTTTGGGTGCTCATGGGATATCACCCTCAAAGCATCTAACAACACCATTCCTTTTACTAAAACTGTGTACAGTGCTAAACAGCTTACCCGAGCAACTGGTCCAGATGGCCTTGGAGGAAGGAGGGGGAATCCAGGTCCAGCTCACAGAGGTGCAGTGGGCTGAGCATCTGAGAGAAGAACTGGGAAAAGGATATCTGCAACTCTTGCTCCTCCCTCTCCTGCTCCTCTTCCTCCTCCCAATCCTGCTCGCCTTCCTCTCCCCAATCCTGCTCCTCTTCAACCAACACATGGATGTGGGAGAGAAAGAGTCTCTGCAGGTTCTTCATCTGCCCCATATAAAAAGCAAACATCTCCAGGGTGGTCAAGTCACAGGTGCAGTTCAGTACTAACTCCTGGATGCAATCCAGCTGCACCACATCCAGGACCTTCCTCACCCTGTGGAAGGGCACTGTAGCAATCCACAGCGTCTTGCAGCACAGGTGTACCAGCCCTTCCCTCTGCTGGGCCCATTGGATGACGTACATGAGAAACTCTTCCCTGTCCCCTTCATTGAAGTTAAGGTCTAGGAACACCTCCACAGGAGCTAAGGGGTGCTCCATGTTGGGGCTGGACCTGTGCACAGCCACTGGTCCTGTTGGTGAGCGCTTTTGGGTGCTGTCTCCACACCACATTCTCCAGAAGTCAGAATCCCTGTCCCTTAGATCCAGCACCCGCAGTTTGCACCTCCTGTGGAGAAAGCAGGACATTAGCCAAGATTCTTTCCAGTCAACAGGGCATTGGCTGACATGCTGTATGGACAGTGTGTCTCAGTGGTTGAGCATCTACCTATGAACCAGGAGGTCACAGTTCAATCCCTGGTTAGGATACATGCCTGGGTTGCATGCTCCATGCTTAGGGTATGATGTGTGTGTGTGTGTGTGTGTGTGTGTGTGTGTGTGTGTATAGGAGGCTGCTGATCAATGATTCTCTCTCATCATTGTGGCTTCTATCTCTCTCTCTCTCTCCCTTCCTCTCTGAAATCAAGAGGGAAAAAATGGTTTTTTAAAAAAGATCCACCGAATGAGGGCAGGTCAGAATGAAACTAAGCATCTGAGTTGAGGCAACAACCAAACTCTACCCCCACCCTGACTTCATCTTTGATTCTCAAGCTCAGCGTCTCCCTTGCCCCCTGCTTTGCTTTGCTCATCTCCTTCAATCCCTCCTGCTCAGCACTTCCTGTATCTATAACTAACACTGGGAGGAGGCAGGGCACATTTTGGAGGTGCCTCTGCCCATTAGGCAGTGCTGCACTCCCCAGTGAGCTCAGCAGGGTGCCATGGTCCCTACTCTCACTGGCATCTTCAGAAAATTTGGGTCCCCTTTAGGCCTTCAACATGCCCTGACCCCCTTGGTCTCCGGGATGCCCAGGACCCTCCCAAGTACCAGGAGCAGCCTTACCTGGGGCGAACTTCCTGGGCAAGCAGAAGGTCAAGCCCATCCAACACGGCTTTTAAGACCTGGACTGGAAGTGGCTGTTTCAGGCTCCCCAGAGGGAGGACAGTAAAGGGCCAGGTTTGTGTCATCGCCTTCAGGACCTGGTGCTGTCTACTGTGGAAGGCCAGGGTGAACAGCTGCGGGAAGAGCTCAGCAGGCAGGTACTCCAGAGCTGCGATGGCCGAGGCCTGGTCCCTCAGCAGGCTCTCTGCTGCCAGCTGCAGAAGTGTGGGTGGGGTCCTGATGCTCATCCTCAAGGTGCTCCAAAGGAATCCTGTGGAAAAATCCAGGGAACAAAGCATCCTCATCAGGCCATGCCTTTGAGCCCCAGCCTCTGACTCCCCATTTTCACAGAAATCAACTCAGGTTCAAAGCCCATGCCTGGCAATGGTGAGAGCCTCAGTTTACAGAGTCCCATTCTGAGCTAGGTGACCACAGAGCCATAGTTCCCATGTAGGCCCCAGGACAAGTATCTCAGAAGCACCCACATTTTCATTCCAGTCTGCCTGGGAAGTGGGTACGAAGGGCCTGAAATCTGACCCCCACCTTTTTTGAGGAAAATTTCAGACCAGTCTATGGACACCAACTCAAAATTTAAAATTTCCAGAAATAAAACCACAGTTAACAGGTTTTCATTAGGGGCTTGGAGGGAGGAGGGGTGTCAGAGAATCAGCTTGGTTACACCTTTAAAATAGAACAAAGCTCAAGCCCAAATTTTGAAATTCAGGAAAAAGTACACCAAGAGGCAAACTCAATGCCTTCAATCAGTTAAAACAATAGAAGAAAAAGGAAAAGGTCTGTGCCAACGTGAGATCAACTGCCTTAGCTGAGGCCGGTAATTTACCTGCTGTGACTGGCTTGGCTGGGGCTCAGATCTCAGACCTGCTGGAGGACTGCAGAGCTGGAAGTCTCTGAATCTCTCCTCTGGTGCCTGAGGTTTTTATACACCTTCTTAAACGCTAGAATCCAATCAGGACCCTCAATCCTTAATCCTAATGCAATTATTGTCTCCCTTCAGATGAATGGATTGAGAGAAAGTTAGGGAAGTGCAGGGTGGAGGCCTGGCTCATTGATCCATGTGGTGGGCATTTTCTCTGTTTTCTGCGTCCCACACAGATAACAGCTTCCTGAGTGCAGAAGCTGTGGATTAAGAAATTAGAAAAAGAAAGAGACAAGAGGCAAAAATAGATTCATAAAGCTGGGCGCTAGATGGGCGCCATCTCTCTGATGGAGAGACAGTCACACCCACCACAGACAACACAGCACATTTGCTGGAATCCGAAGGGGAGTTGAAGGTCAAAAGGAGTCTCGGGTGTGCTCACATCCTATTCATCAAGATCTGGGTAAGCTCCTCATTTTTTGGTACAAGATTTAGCATATCAAGATCTGGGTAAGTCAAGTCCTATTTGTTCCTCCTTCCAAGCACTTTGATAAAGATAAAAAAATCAGTACTGATAACAGGGTTCTGCCAGTGCCCTCAGGCTCAGCTGATAAGAATTAAAGAAATATCCATGTGCCTTCCCAGATGGCTCTCTACAGATCCCTTCCACAGAAACTGACGGAGGTTAATTAATAGTCCATAGGTTCATCATAGGTGTGAGACAGTGAAGGTGTCATGGGTTCCTGATGTTAAAAGCATGGTTGCTGGGGGTCTTTGGCCACATCAAAGTTATCAGAACATTGCAGAGTTAAAACATCCTTGAGAAGACACTGGTGCCATCCTCAGGAGAACAAAGGAAATATGTCCAGGCATTAAGTTTGGTGTTATGGCAGGTGACATAACAGCTTATGAGCTCCTCAGGGAGGAAGTGGTGGGCAACTGTCCCGACCCACGGGACAACAACGGGGGCACGCAGGAACCACCTAAGAGAATGAAACAAACAAGGAACGCAAAAGAATGAAGGCAAGACAAGGTTCTGATCAAGCCTCAGTTTTATTCTCTGAAATGGCAGAGACAAAGGGGGGCAGGGCTGCCCATGCAGAGGGGTCCCTGGCAGTGTCCAGGGGGAGGATCAGGAAGGGGAAGTTTCAGGAAGACAGGAGATGCTAAGCCCCAGGTTAATCTTATCTTCTGGATAAGCCCTCAGGGCACCGCATAACTTCTGCTAGAAGGAACTTAATTCTATTTCCTTAAGACTGCGTTGCTTGCCTCAACTCTGCTAGCTCCCAACATCTCCTCCCTTTGTCTTAATTGAGGGTGGGCCTTAACCGATTGGGGGAGTAGTGACCTGGTTCCTCCCGTGGGCTTCCCAGGCCCACCAGTGTTAGCGGCTCTTGGTATCTTTTGGGGAGGAGAGGCAGAGCTGATTGGATTTGTATTGATACCAACCTCTATGCAAACCAGGTATGCTCACAGGGAAATCCAGAGGGGGTCGAAATTTTCCCGTGACCTTCCCTTGGGAAGAGGGGGTCGGAAAATTTTTTGGACCTTCCCTTGCAATGCTTTGCTCTGCACCCATATCGGTACCCATACCTTTCTCCTTAGTGGGGAGTAGGTAAGCATTCCTCTGGTCATCATGCTGTCCCCGCAGGGAGGGAGCGATGGTAAAGTTCATAATCTTGCTCATGATCAGCTACGGCTAAACGGTGGTAATGTACCTGGATGGGTTTGGCCAAGATGCTGTCAATGTGTTGTTTTACAAAATCTGTTAACCTCCGAAAAGCCCAGGGGCCAAAGGATAGGATTAATAAGAAACCTATGAGGGGGCCCAGGATGGGGAGAAGGTAGGGGAGAAGTCCGTTTAGTCCGCTCCAGAGAGGGTTCTCGAACAGTTCTTTCCTCCGCTTTATCAGGTCTTCCTGTAGTTTCTTGATTTTGTCTCGGACGATTCCAGACTTGTTGGCGTAGAAACAGCAACGTTGCTGTAGGGCTAAGCATATCCCTCCCTGTTCTGCTGTGAGTAAGTCTAAGCCTCTTCTATTCTGCAAGACAACCTCCGCTAGGGAGTCTATTTGATCCTGAAGGTCATTGATGGTTCCGGAAAGGGCTTGAACATCATCAATCAGCTGATTAGAAAGTTTAACATATGAGTTGACCGCTACTCCTAGACCTGCAGAGCCGGTGGCCACGGCTCCTGTGACTCCTAGACCTATGAGTAGGGGGATGAACTGAACCGCGCGCTTACTGCGGCCGCTAATATACTCAAGGCTGGGCAGGGGGACGGGCTCATCTCCTGGGACAATGTCAATATCAGGGAGGAGGATAGCTTGTATACATAGCCCGGTCCAATTGATAGGCAAGGCCGTGAAGGCCATGTTTCCTCCACATATAAAAACTTGTCCGGGAGCGAGGCAGAGGGATGAAGTTTTACTAATGGTAAAAGAGCAGTTTGAAAAGGTAATAAATCCCACATCTACATCATAACTATTATTCTGAGGAGGGCTTTCTAGGCATATTGTTGAGTTGAATCTTAAAGGTTGAATCCTAAAAGGAAGACTAATACTACAATTATTTTCTGATAGGAGGCTGGTAACGTTAGCTGGGATGGCGAGGGGCATAGGTGTACCAAGCGTCATGCATAGCCAACAGTTCTCTGCCAGTTTCGGGTTGGAGACATTGAGGGCCTTTAGGGTGGCTTCTAGAATATCTGAGGTTTGGGTATCTAAGTCTATACCTCGGGGTTTGGGTAGAACTAAAGGGTGGTATTGTAGCGGAGGGTACTTAACTTTGATAAATTCTTCTATTTGTTTTTGAACCTCGGCTTCTCTTACCCTATCAGATGGCCCGCCACCATCAGATATATGGATTGGAGCTCGCGGTGGCCAGCAGATGGGTTTGCCAACTGTGCCACGGCAAGAGGCTTGGGCATACTTAGAGTGGCCTCTGGAGGTATGGTCGTATTCACCTCCGAAGGAGCCAAGGTAGGTTTTCTCGAGAATGGCAGTTAGGTATACCTTGCCGTCAGTATGGGTACACTGTTGGACACTGCTATAAACAGGTAGAGTGTAGTCTAAGACTGTTTGGCCAATCCTGGGGACAAGATCCAGGTCTGCCGTCAACTGGGGGGTATGATTTTAGGTTTATTCTGGCATTTCCAGCTTTGTTCAATCCCATCAATACGTTGCTCATAGACAAGATAGGCAGTGAAACTGCCGCAATCGGCTATGCGGGTGTACCTGGGAGGCTTTCCTGCAGTACTACCCCCGTCACACCTACAAGGGTTGCCAAATAGTTTTAGGATTAATTGATCTCTGTTTACCGGAGGTCCTAGTCCACCGCTGGTCAAGGGGATCAGGATTGAAAGCAGGGTCAGGATAATTTTTGCCATGATCTGTAGAAGGAAAGGGAGGGAGTCTTTCACAGGGGAATAGTTCCCTGGAAGGGAGGTTGTTATTTAGGGGAATTAATGGGTTTGATCAGGCGTTCTGGTAGCCATCTCGGTCCTTCCACCTGTGTGTCGTAGACACATGCGGACCCCCGTCCCCAGATAAGGACCGGGTCTGGACCGTGCCATTTTGAGGTCAATGGATCTTTCCACATGACTTTTGCGTATTGATTTTTTGTTTCCTGGTGCCAAAATCAGTCGGCAGCCGAGTTCCTTCTTTGTCTAATTTTAAGAAATTTAATGTAAATAACGCATGATTTAAAAGGTTACGGGGGGAGCCTCTAGTGGGATAAACATCATTTGTTTTTAGTTTGTTTATGGTGTGTTTTTTAGGGTTTGATGAGATCGTTCTACTATCCCTGTCCTTGGGGGTTATAAGGGATGC